CTAAGACAGGGCCGTAACCTCCAAATACATAGGTCTACACTAGACCAGATAGGTCAGCTTACCTTAAGCTGAGCCACTGCAACATCTACACTGCAGGAGGCCAATGGGAGCACACCCTTCCATTTGCTTCCCTTACTCCTCACAGAATGAGGAATACAGGATGCCTTCAGGGGCTGCCCTCAGCATTCAATATGAGGTTCTACATTAGTCCCACTAAATCAAACTCTAGAAGATCGGCCTCCAGAGGGTCAATCTTCTCCAGTGTAGACTTGCCCACACAGTCTTGTCCTTCCAATGCAGAACAAAAATAAATTTCAATGCCTTCCATTCATCCTTCCATGCTTAGAAACTATTTACTAGTCTTGCTTTCCAAATGACCTCCCTATCATTTTTCAGCTACCTGCACAAAACTCATGTTATCCTTTCCCCATGCATTCCCCCCAAAAAGCAGTGGAATGGAGTAATAGAGAGGAAAAGCAAAATAAAAACAACCCAACTACAAGTCCATCTCCCTACCTTTCGTAGGTGTGTGTATACAAACATGCCTATACATACACACAAACAAAATTATTTAACATATATATATACATATGTACACAGACACACATATTTATATATAAATTATAGTGTATATTTACTATGATGTTTGGATTGCAGTTAGGAAGCCTAATCAAAGACTTGGTCCTGTCATCTCTTATTAACATGAGTAATCCTTTATCTTTCTGTAACTCGGAGAGATAAGGAGTGGCTTGACTAGGGTTAACTCATGTAGCAAGAAATTACTACTGACTCCAGATAAAGGTATCAGAATGATTTAGTATGACCCTGTCATATAATTCCATGGAGTTAATAATTCTCCTAGAACTTGTTTGGACTCCCTGGCAACATCCCAGGAACCTAGGGAAAGACAGGGGGCAGGGAAGGCAAGTTGAAAACAGTGAGAAAAGTAACATGCTGCCGAACTAGCTCAAATTAACATTTAGCCCATTCGCTAGCCAAACATTCCAAGGGTCTTATAAAACATGGATATGTAAGTTAACACCAACTACAAGCAGATTTTCCCTGGCACTTAAGCCACTTAATGCCCATTCTCAATGTTACATTCACTTTAACAGTGTTACAGGAGTTCTGTCACATAGAGACACTGGTTTTGAACACAAATAAGTTTATTTTTCATTGTAGACTTGAAGGGATTTGGCCACACCTTTAGTGAAACTGTAGCCAGCACAATCAATATTTTACTTTAAATGTTTCTCTCCTCTTTGCCCCCCTGCCACAATTTCAGGATTTCAATGCTTGAAGACTGAAGGGATTTGGGGATTAGGGAATGTTGCTGATGTAATTGCTAAATACCACAGTAGTGTAGGGGAAGGGTTGTATAATATGGAGAATTGGTAAGTGTAGGTCTGTGAAACTAAAGCAGCTGGATTTGCTTCAGCCCTGCTTCACACCTAACCTACCAGCCCTAGTGATGCCCTATTTAGCCATCTATAGTATTGTCTAACACTATTGATCTATTTAAGAGACTGGAGTCCCTAGTTGCCCTCCCTGCCCAAAAATATTTTCAATAAGGTGACCAGGTATCTGGTTTTGGACCAGAACCCCCAGTTAAAAAGGAAGCCTGGAGGATCCAGTTGGCACTGCTAACCAGGCCATTGAATGTCCAGTTTGCAGCTGCAGTGGGGCTGGTTAGTTTATTTGCAGCATGTGATGCATGCATGGATGAGGTGAAATGATACCACATATGTTACTTTGCACATTTGCAAAACTTGTGGTCAGACCTAACTGGAAGAAAGACAGAAAGTGTTTAAACAGAAAGGCAAATCACAAGAGATGCTTGTAATCTGATATAATTTCCTGAACATCCCAACCCAAGCCCTGCTCCTCCTGGGATTTCTGGTGTGAAAAGAAAGCAGAGGGAATAAGGCATGTATAGGATTAGGAGGAAGTGTATTTTCCTGTGAGTCCCTAAAGCTTTGGTATGGGCTCTCGCTCTGTGTTCCCAGAACATATACTGACATCCTCTAGAGTAAATGAAGGCAGCAGCTTTCCAGGGTATCAGAAGAATTTACATGGGCAGATGATGCTGATCCAATTTTTCTATGAAGTCTAACTACTCCCCCTCTTTGAGACAACAGATCAGGCAACCCATAGAGCCGTGGTCACCAACCAGTAGATCGCGAGCTACCAGTAGATCTGAGGGGCTCTAGGAGTAGCTCTTGAGCCCTCTCTGAACTGCATGCCTGTGCAGTACATTTACATTAGATTTCCTCATTTGAGGAGCAGCTACTCACCGAGCAACAGCACAGGTGAGTAGCTGCGAGGAATGGTGGAATTTTTTTTTTTAAAGTAGCAGTATAAGGGTTGGGGATAGCAGATGATGGAGAGGAGGAGAATAGAGAGGGCAGGGCTTCAAGGAAGGGGAGGGGCGGTAAATCTTGGCTTGGTCTGTCATTTAAAATGTGATCTTGGGTGTAAAAAGGTTGGAGACCACTGCCATAGAGCATGCACACTGGTTTATGAGGCTGCTTTGTGCAGATGTCTGCCACATCCAGTACCATCTAATTTTTGAATGAGTAAAGGGAATCAGAGATACCAATGAGAAGTCAGAGAAAAACTAAAAGGCCATGCAGAAAATGAACAGACAGCAATAACTAACTATGTCAGAGAACAACACTTCATTATTATTAGTTATATTACACTAGCTCCTAAAAGCCCCAACTGAGATCTGAATTCCATTATGCAAGATATTGTACAAAGACAGAGGCTATGTCTACACTACCAGGTTATTTCGACCAATGAGAAGTCAGAGAAAAACTAAAAGGCCATGCAGAAAATGAACAGACAGCAATAACTAACTATGTCAGAGAACAACACTTCATTATTATTAGTTATATTACACTAGCTCCTAAAAGCCCCAACTGAGATCTGAATTCCATTATGCAAGATATTGTACAAAGACAGAGGCTATGTCTACACTACCAGGTTATTTCGAAATAAATACAGGAATTATTATTTTGAAATAACAAGCCCCTTATTTCGAAATAACAGGCTTGATAGTGTGGAGGTTCGTCTTGTTATTTTGAAATAAGGGGAATTATTTCAAAATAACTCCCCAGTGTAGACATGCCCATAGGGAGAGTCTCTACCCAAAATGCCTACTGTCTCCACAGACAGGTAAGGAGTGGAAATAAACACAGAGAGGGGAACTTACCCTACCTAACATCAGACAATAGACTAGTGGCAGAGCCAGGACTAGAATGCAGCTCTTTCTGATTCCCAGTCCAGCATCTTATGCATTAAATCATGCTGCCTCCATTTGATAGCCACTTCATCTTGAGGAGGCTCTAACAACAAGGCTACGTCTACACTGGCATCCCTTCCGGAAAAGGGATGCTAATGTAGACTTTGGAATAGGCAAATCCGCGGGGGATTTAAATATCCCCCGCAGCATTTGCATTAACATGGCTGTCGCTTTTTTCCGGCTTGGGGAAAAGCCGGAGAAAAGCGCCAGTCTAGACATTATTCTCCGGAAAATAAAGCCTTTTCCGGAGGATTTCTTATTCCTACTTGAATAGGGGGAGTAGTTAGACTTCATTGAAAGTAGGAATAAGAAATCCTCCGGAAAAGGCTTTATTTTCCGGAGAATAATGTCTAGACTGGCGCTTTTCTCCGGCTTTTCCCCAAGCCGGAAAAAAGCGACAGCCATGTTAATGCAAATGCTGCGGGGGATATTTAAATCCCCCGCGGATTTGCCTATTCCAAAGTCTACATTAGCATCCCTTTTCCGGAAAGGGGTGCCAATGTAGACACAGCCCAACAGGTTGAAAACCATTACTACTTTTTCCCTTGATTTTGTTTTGTAAAAAACATTAAGCATCTATGTTATACATAGGACCAAGCTAAACAAACAAATTACAATACAGTTCAAATGGGTAGCATGATTTAGGAATGAGGGCGGTACTTGGTCCTTATACTAAAGTTCCATACTATAAATTGTAACTATTCTGTAATTGGGTTGCCCAATATATTAAGTGTGCTACTATGTTTCTTACATTGCTTTCCTAGCTAAGGATTAAGCAGCCTTATTGAATTGAGACAATACATTAACATTACCAGATGAAGCTGAAACAAAAGAAACTCACATGAACAAGCAAACTGTGTTAGGCATACTCTATTAGCACTGAGATAACAAGGTAGGGATGGGAAAGCCATATCACAATAGCACCATGGAGCTTTTCCTGCTACAAGCAATATTTTATTTTGAAAGTAAGTACATGTGAGTAGGAATTAAAAGCTCCAGGCAATGTGTGGCTTGATTAAAGAGTAAAATTGTACTTGCACACCACCATGAGGTTAAACTATTTTGTGTGAATGGAAGATCTTTCCTGTTACAAACACACAAAATAAACCAGAGTGATTTTTGCATTGAAAACAGATGACTGGAGCTCAGAAGAAAAACATGCTGATGTTCAGTTCCGAGCAAATTACACTTAATCATAAATGGCTTGAGAGAGTGAAGCTATGTAAATGCACCATAAAGTTTACAAACTGGCTTCTCTAGCTGTAAGTCAGTGAATTTGAAGTGCTGAGTGCTAATGTGGCATTCTGAAAGGAAAAGTAAACTGTGCAAGTCCGATTCAAAGAACTACTCAAAGAAAAAAGAAGAATTGTAAACAGATTCTCAAAACACAAAGGTGTGTAAACTATTGTGTGTAAATGCAAGCAGCATTTCCTTTGAACTAGTTTATGCAGAATGTCAGTTGTACTGAGAACTGCAATTGTAAATTATTGAGATTGTCTAGTATTCTGAACTGATTGCCCTATATTATATTTTTAGTGTGGTACTTATATATACATATATGATGGCTGTATCACAAAAAAAATGAAATGTGCGTATCAGAAAGCAAAAGTTTTAGTAACGTACTGTAACAATTAAACACAAGATGGAAGTAATAAACAACAAACAAAAAAAGTGGTAAAACAAAATAATTCCTCACCTGGATGTTTGGATAGCCTTGAATTGTTTCCATATACCTGAACATAAAACAAACATTGACAAGTAAGCATGTCGATAAAAAGAAATCCAAATAAATTTTAATATTAATCATGTTGAGAATATTACCTGATATTTAGAATGAAATAGAATCAGCAAGAAACAATAAGAGAACAGAGATAACAAATTGTTCATGGTCATTTTGAGGTTAAACATGCAACTGAGATCAAACTCTTGGGAGATTTCAGTTACAAACACCAATTCTCCTTTACCACTTTTTCTTTTAAAAGGGGCTTTTTCCACACTGGTTCAAGATGTCCATTCCTTCAGTGACAACAAAATTTGCTTCCATATCCTTCAGGAATATTTTCCTCCTTCACACATAAATCCCTTTCGTTTTTCATAGATATATTACTGTGACGGCAGAAAAATTATAAGATGAAATCTATTAGTCCCAAAAACATACAGTTCCACAGAAAAGCGTATAATTCTGCTGCAAGTTATGCCAAAAAAGAGAGAGATCTTATTTTTCAACTTCTGCTTTCTATAGTTGTCTTTTACATTCAACTGTTTTCAGTTTGTCAAAGATCCAAACTCAGTTTTGTTACTTCCGTTTGAAAAATACCTCTTTTCTTTATGTGGGGCAAACTCCCACTATTTCCTTAGGAATTGGATTGAAATAAGTTGCTAACCTCTTGCTTGCATGACTCAAGTTTGCACCTTCATCCAAGATCTCTTTGGGTGGAGAGAAAGCCTGAGTGACGTCATGCTTTCTTCTCAAACTTTGTCCCATTCTGGTACTCTATTTATAATCATGTTGCTGCTGTCTCCTTTCTGGGTCCTAACACCAGCCACTAGGAATATGTGGAAATAAGTCCATGTAGCTCAGAAAACAGAACAAAAAAAATCTGTTAAAATTATTTCTTGAAGGTTTGCACACTGAAAGAGGGAACAAAGCCAGTATAAATATTAATATTTCAAATTCTTAAAAACCATAAAACAGGTTTGGGGCACAAGTTTTATGAGACAATCAACAAACCATTTATTATGTTACTTAGTATTCATCCAGGGCTTTTGTCTCTGAGGATCTATAGTAATTAATATATGCAAGGTAGTTAAGTCTCACAGCACTCCTGAGAGGTTGGGGGAGTTTTATTATTCCTTTGTATAAATAGGGAAATTAAAGCACTGATAGTTTAATTGGTTTGCTCAAGTTCACACAGGAAGTCTATGAAAGATGTGGAAATGGAACCCAGCTCTTCTAATGTCAAGTTGTATATATTACCCAGACACTTTTCACCCTCAGTGTTGAAGTAATAAATACAGGTAGTCCCCGGGTTACGTGCAAGATAGGGACTGTAGGTTTGTTCTTAAGTTGAATTTGTATGTAAGTCGGAACTGGTACATATTGTAGGGGAAACTCTAGCCAAACATTTCTCCAGAGCTCAGTTTTATTCTCCCACACCTCACTTCCCTCAGGGTATGTCTACACTACCCTACGAGTTCGAACTAGGAAGGTAATGTAGGCATACCGCACTTGCAAATGAAGCCCGGGATTTGAATTTCCCAGGCTTCATTTACATAATAAATGGGTTTCCTAAATAGCCTCTTATCAGAGCCTCAGTTTTACTCTATCCTAAGGATTCTCAATCTGTGGGTCATGACCCCTTAGGGGGTTAGAAGGTTATTACTTGGGGGATCATGAGCTGTCAGCTTCCACTCCCCCTCAACCCTGCTTTGCCTTCATTATTTATAATGTTATAAAATACAAAAAAAAAATTGATAAGGGAGGTTTGCTCTCTGAGGCTTGCTGGGTGAAAGGAATCACCAATACAAGTTTGAGAACCACTGCTCTAACCCATATGGTGCGTCTAGACTGGCAAGACTTGCCAGCTGTCTACACTGGTTGCTTGAATTTGCGAAAGAGCACTGACTTTGTAATGTACAAAATCAGCGCTTCTTGCGCAAATACTTTCATGCTCCCGCTCGGGAAAAAGCCCTCTTGTGCAAGAATACTTGCACAAGAGGGCCAGTGTAGACAGGGAAGAACTGTTTTGTGCAAAAAAGCCCCAATGGCTAAAATGGCAATCGGGGCTTTCTTGTGCAAAATCCACTGGCCACGGATGCTTTTGCGCTAAAGCACTTTTTGCGCAAAAGCATCCGTGCCAATCTAGACGCGCTTTTGAGGAAATACCTTTAACAGAAAAACTTTTCCGTTAAAAGTATTTCCGCAAAATCATGCCAGTCTAGACACAGCCATACTGTATACACTACCCCTCATTTGGGATTTAGCATAATTTTGATAACTAGAACTGGTCAACATTTTTATTTTACACTTTTTTAGACAAAAGTGGTTGTATTTTGAGATCAGATTTCCACAGGATTTTATTTACATAGTGCAGTTTTTCAGAGAAGATGCCACATTTCCTTTCTGTGCTTTTTCTCCCCATCTTCCTTCTCCTTCAACCTTTCTTCCTCTTCCCCAACAAACCTCCAGCATCAGAGACATGGTGGTGGCTGCCCCAGGCCCCAGGCTTTCAGGGCCCCTGTATTGGCCCCCCCAGCCATTCTGGCTACATCTAGACTACAGAGGGATGTAAATAAAGTACTTCGAAAGTACAAATGAAGCCGGGATTTAAATATCCTGTGGTTCATTTGCATAATCACATAATGGTGCACTTTCGAAAAAGCACTATTTCAAAATTGAAACCGCAGTCTAGGCGTGGTTCTTTAAAAAAGGTGTGTTTTTTCGAAAGATCCTGTAACCGTAATTTTTTGTGCTTCATTTACACCCCTCTTCCAACAGAGGGACATAGTCTAGATGTAGCCTCTCTGAATGAGAAAGTACCCTATATTGATCTTAGCTTGCAGGGCCCAGGGAAGCCTGGGGGACTATTTGAAGGGTGGCCTAGGGAGGCAGCAGGGGTCAAGTCCCTGGATTCACTGCAGTGGTGGGAGTCACAAAAAGCAGAGTAATGCAGCAGCCTGCTTCACTCCAACATTTCTCAGATGGGCCACTTTACTTTATGCCCAGCCTGAGCTGTTCCCCTGAGTGATGAAGGGCTCAAGGGAGCAGAGCAGAGTGGACAGGGATTGTGGCCAGGGTACTACACTTCCTGCTGCTGTGGAATGGAGAAGGATTCTGGATCACTCCGTTTTCCATGGCTCTTGCCACCATGATGAGTATAGGGAGGCCCAACACCCCCTGCCACCCTGCAGTAGGCCCCTAAGTACCAAACCTGGTGGCTCTTGGGCCCAAACACCCACCTCCAAAAAGGGGGGGGTGTTCAGCATGTGCAGGGCCAGATTAATCTTTTGTGGGCCCCAGTACCCAGACCCTGACCCCTGCTCTGCTTGCACTGCATCTCAAGGCTCTTCTCCTGGTCAGCTTCACTGCCATGTCCTCCTTGACTCACCCAGTTCCTACCTCTCCCAGCCTCTAGGCAGAGCTAGTCTCAATGTTTCATACAGAACAGTTTTCCATCTGATAAAGCAGATTCGAAAAAATTGAAACGTGCAAAAGAGTGTCAATTTCAATCAAAAGCTTAGGTGGACTGGCCAGCTGCCTGCTTTGCTGTCAGCTTGCTCACTCATTTCCTTGGACTTCCAGGTATCCCAGCAGCACACCAGGTAGATTTCTGCATCAAAACACATCTGCACTGCAGGAACATTTCAATATTTCCAAAAGGGAATCCTGAACAATTTCCATCTGTGAAAAATTCAAATGTTTGGCCTTTCATATAAGTTTGGAACAACAACAAAAAATGCAAAGCTTAAGTTTTGTTTGCAGAACTGAAATTCCAACCCCTAGCTAGCTATACCCCCTTGTAAGACCCTTGTCTGCACCCATTTTGATTCCTTCCCCCCTGCCATAAACCACCAGAAGTCCCTTCTTGTCCCTTCTAGCTAAGGCTAGATCTATACTGCACCTCTCTTGTCAAAAGCCTATGCAAATGAAGTGCAGATTAGCATATTGCCATGCTTCATTTGCATAATTTATTAGGGGTCATTTTTGCACAAGAGGCTTTTGCACAAAAAGAAGCTGTGTAGACGGCTCCTTTTTGCACAAAAGCCCGCTCTTGCACAAGAGCCATTCTTTCTCATTGTCAATATGGTAATCTGTGTTTCATCTGCATGGGCTTTTGCGCAAGAGAAGCACAGTGTAGAATAACCTAAGTGTTTTGCATTTGGCCCAGAAGAATCCCCAAACCCTGAACTTCTAAATAACACATAAGAACATAATAACGGCCATACTGGGTCAGACCTAAGGTCCATCTAGCCCAGTATTCTGTCTCCCGACAGTGGACAGCACCAGGTGCCCCAGAGAGGGTGGACCAACCGAAGACAATGATCAAGCGATTTGTCTCCTGCCATCCCTCTCCAGCCTCTGACAAACAGAGACCAAGGACACCATTTTATCCCCTGGCTAATAGACTTTTATGGACCTAACCTCATGAAATTATCTAGCTTCTCTTTAAACTCTATTATAGTCCTAGTCTTCATAGCCTCCTCTGGCAAGGAGTTCCACAGGTTGACTACACGCTGTGTGAAGAAGAACTTTCTTTTATTAGTTTTAAACCTGTTACCCATTAATTTCATTTGGTGTCCTCTAGTTCTTCTATTATGGGAACTAACTTTTCTTTATCCACCCGCTCCATACTCCACACCACGCATGATTTTATCGACCTCTATATAAAAGGATGGGGGAATGGACACCGCTGCTAGTAACAGGAGCTTTCCAGCCCTATGTCAGGGTTTGAGAAATGTGAATGCTCCACCAACCCTTGTTCATCCCCATCTGACTCCTGTATGGAAAAAAATGTAACAACATCAAGATTCCTTCTGCTACTTCAGTCAGTATGGGGGGGGGTCTAGTAAGGGAAGGATCCATCAGCACCCCGCCCAAGGTAGTGCAGGGGGCCAGGTGGGAAGCCAGTGCTCATGGGAAACTGGCTCCGCCTCCCCCTCCGCTACCTCTGATATATAGGCAGTGGGGGGGGAAGGAAAGGAGCTTGCCGGTAACCCTCATGGTTACATGAATGAACTCAGACTCGTCGGTTAACCGTTTAAACGAATACACTAGCACAGTGTTTCTGAACTTTTTTTAGAAAGTACCCCCTTTTCAAAAAAAAATGATAAGTACCCCCAATACCTACAGTTTTTGGACAATTTTTTTCTATCATTGCAACACATTTGTTTACCAACTTAATCGTAGCCGGACACGCGATGAAATTTTTGGATGTAAAAAGTACAAAAATAATAAAACGCTGAAAACTTAAAACAAACACTCAGTTTTCTGCAAATTTCAGTTATGTTGACGTACCTCCCAGACGTCTGTTGAGTACCCCTAAGGGTACTCATACCACTGGTTGAGGAACGCTGCACTAGCATATCCCTAGTTTCTACGACAACTTCTTCCAGTCTTTTGGAATCAGACATACTCCCATAGTACCTTAAAGAAAAAGACTCAATCTACAAATTACACCCGTCACCTGATGTCACAAAGCTTCTATACACAGAAATACGGTTGATATAAAGAGCTGCTCTAGGTGCAAAGCATTGGAGGATCTTGTCATGCAAACTTTACCACCTCACTGCTTACCCCTTTCTCCAGATCATTTATGAATAAGTTGAAAAGGATTGGTCCCAGGACTGACCCTTGGGGGACACCACTAAGTACCCCTCTCCATTCTGAAAATTTACCATTTATTCCTACCCTTTGTTTCCTGTCTTTTAATCAGTTCTCAATCCAAGAAAGGACCTTCCCTCTTATCCCATGGCCATGTAATTTACACAAGAGCCTTTGG